AACACATTAACAAGAGAATTCTGTGTAAAACCAAAGTTACTTTCCCTAGTAACTAGTTACTTTGAAAGTAATGAGTAACTTGAAGTAACTGAGTTACTTTTGAGAGAAGTAACTAGTAATGTAACTAAGTTACTATTTTAAAGTAACTTACCCAACACTGATCAACACAAACGGGTTGAAATGGACGCTGCAGCCAGACCGCTCATAGGTTTGTTACCTGTTGAAGTTCGGGGTCTGGCTGCTGGACTGGGGTCAGCGTTCATTAAGCTTTATCAACACTCTGGGTTCTTAGCTAGCTTAGCGTTAGCATGTGTTAGCATGGCTGCAAAGCTCCAAAGCTGTGTTAGCATCAGAAAGCAGTCGTTTCTGTTCTGAACAGAGTTTGCACTTTACCATCGTGTTCTCGTCCTTTTATAAAAAATAAAATTTATGTCCATCTCTACGCTGCAGACTGTTACACTATTTTCCTCCTCCAGCACACAAACTGAAATCAGTAAAAGTAAAAGAGAAACCAAGAAACAGGATCTATTGACAGGCAGACTAACAAATCCAAGGAATTGAACTGATACCTGATACATACATCTGGATGCATTGTGGGAAATGTAGGAAAAAGTAGCCTGTGTAGGTTTTTTTTTTCTTTTCCTCCGTCTGTGGTTGTTTTTTAGAATTTACCTTTGTTGTGTCGCTAAGTGTGATATTGCAGGTTCATCTATCATTCTTAATAAAAACCCGACTAAAACTAAATAAGACTAAACATTTCTGTGCAGTTTTCTTTTGTTCTGCCACAAGGAGGACCCACTGCATACATGCTAATGATGGAGATGTTTAATTATTACATAAAAATGTAGTATAGCGGTAATTTTATGTATTTATACATCTTTTTTATTCAATAAAAAAGATCACCTGATCATTGTACCCTTAGTTCTGGTCCCAGTAAATCAGGACGGGTGGCCAGCGCGGAGTAACTTTCAAAATGTCCACAGGAGATTGCTGTAGACCACAGGCACTCATAGGCATTGGTTGCTGCTGACAACAGGAAATAAAGCCGGTCTGCGCTATGGGCTGAATCATTTTTAACTGTGGATTTTAACACAATGCAATATATACAGTTTTAGAGTTTATATTCAATATAAATTGTAGCTAGGGTGACATTGTTAATGCTGGCTTATTTTAATAAATAAATTGTCATATACAAAACTAGGGTGGCAAGAGATTATTTTAGGTTGGCACATGCCACCCCAAGCCACCCATGTAGATCCAGCCCTGAGTGTTTTAACGGGTTACGGGGTGAAAAAGTTAGCACTTCTTCAGATTGAATAAGAATCCAGAAGCTGCTGAGAAAGATTGCATTTTTTAAATAGCAATGGGCACTTGGCTAGCATTTTTTACAACTGAAGTTCTGTCATCTCCAAGCATTGGTTTTAAGACGCAGCCGTGGTTATGGGCGGAGACCAGACAGATAAACAAAATAAATAAGTAAAGTAAGGCAGGACAGCCCTGTTGGGTATCACAGCTCATCTCGGGGAGGATCCATTTTTCTCTCAGTTGTGACACCAGCAGCAAGAAGTATGGTCATCCTCAGAAGTGTCTGTCGGTGCTCGCCTCTCTGCAGCTCGGTGATGCTGCTGTGTCTGCTGTGCAGTCTGAGCTCAGGTGAGACTATATTTTAAAACCTGTTTACTGTGATTCATCGGGAGAAACAACGACCTCAGAGTCCTTCCAGCTCACAGACTCTGACAGCTGTGAGGTGAGATTAGTACACACTCTCTGATATAAGTGCTGTGATTCATGGGGGGAGAATGTTGAGCAAAGATCACCAGGTGTGAGGGTGGTGGGCTTTATTCTATTCTATTTGTTGTACCTAATTTAGAGGACAGAATACTTCAATTTGTCTGCAGGTTTTTTTGTTGTTTTTTTTATCTCAGTTTTAGTTCCTACCACTGGTATCTGAGGCATGCCTGTTGAAACCAGCCGAGTAAACCTCCACATGCTACTGTAGCGCTCTCAGCTGTAATTAGAGGTCTGGATCTGTGGGTGAAGATCAGCCCTGTAATCTCTGCTGTAATTATGGTTTTCAACTTGTTTTTCTTTGGGTTTAGATGGGGATTTTTTTCTCTTCAGTTGCCACACAGGGTTTTCTAATTTTAGTTTACTGTTTTCTTTACTTCAGTGATGATAATGTTGTTGATGCTTTGACTCATGTCATTGCATCAGGCCAGGTTCTTCCGAGCAAACAGGGGAAACATGCACAAACAACGTCTGTGTGGAACTATAGGTCCATTACTGTGCATTAGAAAGCAGCCTTAATGATTCAGTAGTTTCCACTGATCACATTATAGTTATTTTCTGAATGTAAACACCTCATCTGATTGTGATTTCTCTTTAATATATACATAAAAAACAAAAACATGTACAGCACCAGGACTTCAACTCAGGGTATTGTCGGGAGCGATTTGCAGTGTGACACAGCAGGAATGAGAATCAGAACCTCCACATGGAGGAGTTTAAGTATTTCTGGGTTTTGTAAATGAGTGAGGGGGAGCTGGAGATCAACAGACGGATTGGCGCAGGTTCAGTGATGCGGACACTGTACCGGTCCATCGTGGTGAAGAGCTTAGCATAAAAGCGAAGCACTCAATTTACTCAATTCAACCTATGTCCTTACCCTGAACTATTTTAATGAGCTTTGGTTATTGGCTGAAAGAACGAAATTCTGGACACAAGCGGCAAAAATCAGCTTACTCTTTGAAGGGTAGCTGGCCTTTCTTTTAAACATGGAGTGGATGAACTATCTCCACACTGAATGGAGCAAGTTGAGGTGGTTTGGGCATCTGATAGGAGGCCCCGGGGCAGACCCAAGACACACTGGAGAAATTATCTCTCCAGCATGTCCTGGGAACACCTTGGTGTTCCCCCTGACAAGCTGCAAGAGGTGGCTGGGGAGAGGGAGGTCTGGGGTTCTCTGCTTAGGGTTTTGTGCCCACGGTCCAGCCCAGGATAAGCAGAAAAAGATATATGGATGAACGCACATCTACAGCAGTAAGAAACAGAGATCGGAGAGTGAAAAATTTTATTTCTCTAAATTCAGAAACAGGAACTCGTTTTTGTTTCCTTTGTGAGCAGCAGAGCATTTAGATCCAGTTTTGTGAGTATGTACTTGCATGTAAGTGAAAAGCAGAGCTGATCAAGGCATCTGTTGATACTGTGATGCACAGAATAAAGAGCATGCAAGGTGGCCAAGAATCGCTGATGTATATGTTTGTGTGCCTTAGTGCATTATATCTGTTTTGTCCAGCAGAAAAGGACATTACATTTGATTTCATCCATTGGTCCGTGGGGTCCTTACGGCTCTATGAAATGTTCATCTTTGTCTTTCTTCCACAGCAGGTCTTTTTGTCCTGTCTCCTTCCTCTCATCCCCAACCAGTCACAGCTGACGGCTGTCTCTCCCTGTGCCTGGTTCTGTTGAAACTTTCTTCCTGTTAAAAGGGAGTTTTTCCTTCCCACTGTTGCCAAAGTAGTTGCTCATAGGGAGTTGTCTGATTGTTGGGCTTTTCTCTGTATCATTCAAGTGTCTTAGCTTTACAATATTAAGCACCTTAAGGTAACTGTTGTATTGATTTAGTGCAATATAAAAAAAAACATTGAATTGAATGTGTCACAATTAGCACTGGCCAACTGTGGGTGTGTGGGGAAGTAGGACCCAAAATGCAGAACTCTTCAATGCAAGCAGTGCGTTTATTTACAGTGACGTAACTAATACACAATGATAAATCCCCAGTGTGTTCCCGATTCCCGCTCCGCGTCTTCTCCTCTGTCAGTGCGCCCCAGGGTGGCTGTGGCTACAATGTAGCTTGCCATCACCAGTGTGTGAATGTGTGCGTGAATGGGTGTGTAAAGCGCTTTGGGGTCCTTAGGGACTAGTAAAGCGCTATATAAATACAGGCCATTTACCATTCTCCCTACACCCATGCTCCGTGTCCCCATTCCCTATGTACACTGCGTCAGCTGCTTCCTTGTTTCCACAAATCATCCTGGGAAACACACACACAAAGGCGGCTATGAGTACCTTCACACAACAGCAGACTGGCACTTACTTCGCACATTTGCTGAGAAACTGACAGGAAGTCACTCGACGATCCAGCGTCGAGGAGCTCTCAGCCACACTGCCTTGTAGCTCCCTCGATGATGGTTGATCAGCTGCAGGTGTGTGTGATCATTTCCTCAGGTGTGGCCAGCCACCTGGTAGGGCACACCCACCAGGCCTGAAGACTCCTGTAGACCAGTGCTCAGTACACACAGACACGCACACACAGACACAAACCAGGAAGACGAGGGACAGCAGCACCAAAAATACACATGTCCATAACTGCTCAGGGACCCTGGGTCGCTCAGATCCAGGACAATGACAGAATGTTAAATGGATTAGGAATGGGCTGTCACTCAACTTCATATGTCAAGGCAGACAATTGAATACTTTGGGGAATGTAGTGTACCTCATCTATACTGTTTACAAATAATTCAGTTTATAATAAAAATATAATGAAAGAATCTGTATAGATTTCAGTTACAATGAAGTCAAGTCTGAAAATCAAGGCGTAGGAGGAACTTTGAAGGACTTGGATTCAAGTTTCAAAAATGTGTTCGTAGTCTGCAGTCTTTGAGGCCGTTTAAAGTCCAACAACAAAGATTTAGAGCTGAGCAGGGATAGCAGTAAAGAACTGCTTCTGTTTGAGTGAATGACTTTTGCAATGAGGTGTTGATGTTTTTAGGTCACTCACTCACAGCCATTCAGATTCATCACAGCACTGAGTATTCATTAGGCAGTGCAGCAGCAATGGAAAAGCCAGCATCCAGGATTGGAGCTCAAGTCTTTTCATCATTATGTGGAGGATTTTAATGATAGTAAAAAGTGACAGGCCTCTCTATGTTTGGAGAAATTCACGAGTTTTTGCTGAGTTTTTTACTTTGTCCTCCAGCAGAAGAGCATCCAGTAAGTGTTGATTCGCCTGTGTTACTGAGGTCACCAAATGTGCTAAACCAAAGAGCTGTGGTGGAGCTGTGCACAGGTAACCTGTTACTCACCTGTCCTGTTGTCCTGCAGGCAGCAGCCAGTCTGTGAGGACTGGCTTCATCGGGGATGAGGTCCTCCTGCCTTGCATCTGCTCTAACCAGCTGTCCGAGCCGGTCACCGCCTTCTGGAGGGACAAGGATGACAAAGTTGTATTGGACATCATCAACAGCAGACAGGATAAAATAGATGCAAAGTTCACAGGTCGAGTGTTCAGCTTCCCAGACTATTACAAGAACGGAAACCTTTCCATCCTCATAAAGGATCTGAGGATGGACGATGCCGGCCCATACGAGTGCGACATCCCCAAAGTGGACTATCAGGTCAAGATGACTCTGAAGGTCACAGGTCAGTTCAGCAGCACGAGCACCTTATTAGGAAGGTGGAATACAGACAAACATCAATAGATTAAATGTGCTACACCGGAACGACTGCTTACACCTGTGGCATCAGATGACAGAACAGCAGACAGCAGACAGAACTTCTTGTGGGTGTTTTGTATAATTGGTCCTTGTGTTTAAAGATGATCTATTGCTTGTTTCTGATCAACTCACAAATTATATTCCTGTATTTCAGTGTCAGGTTTATTTCTAGAAGCAGCAGTAATGTTAAAAACCAATTGGATCAAACAGGAAACAGATCATCGAGAGCTTACTGACTCACTAGAATGCATGGTTAATTTACTGTACCACTAAGAGGATGTGCTTCTTGTAGCTGGTTTCAGTCTAAATGAGGATCACAAGTTCAGGCTTTCTTCCTTGAAAGAAAAAATAATAATTTATGTTTTTTTGGTTTGTTTTTTTCATACTGTCAACTCTTATTAAAATTATGTTTTGTATTTTGTGTTGCAGAGAAACCCACATCACACGGTGCAACAGTAACCTCCTTCAGCCACCACCTGGTTCTCCTCTCTGCTCCTCTGTTTGTGCTTTTCTGCTCTTTAAAGTTAATGCCAGGGCTGGACTGGTAATCTGGGATTTCCCAGTGGGCCAACGGGCCGGCTTGAAGTGCTGCTATGCACCCACAATGCAAGGACGGACAACAGCCCATTTGTTCATTTTCAGTCACATCTTTTAATGTAATGTCCCTTCCCTAACTTCGCTGTGCGCTCACTCAGCTAGAAAAATGTAGTGTGGAAGAAGTGACTAAAAGTGGAGATGAGAAGCTGAGAGAAAACAATAAAAAAAAAAAAACTAAAAATAGATGCAGCAAATGTGTCAAAGTAACAAACACGTTAGCTGTCGGTGCGTGAACAGCAGTACCAGCAACCAGAGGTGGGACGTAATTACTTTGTTACTGTACTTAGGTAGAGTTTTTAGGTATCTGTACTTTACAGGAATATTTATTTTTCTAACTTCTGACTTTTACTTCCTACATTTTTAAACAAATATTTGTATTTTCTACTCCTCACATTTTTAAAACAGACTCCTTACTTTTCTTTCAACAGTATCATCAATAGCTGTATACTCGGGGGTTAAAGTGGGCCGGAAACAGTGCAGGTGTCCCAAAGTTGTACTCAGCATCTAGCTAATGCTCCAGAATAGGAATAATCATAAAGGGAGTAACGTTTCTCCACGATTCAAAATTTCTACAGTGTTTCTATCAGATTAACAAACATCAACAAACACACAAATTGTTTGATTTCAATTTGTCTCACAGTGTGTCGTTAGCTAAAGGTCCAGCTGCTGTATTTCACAGGGCGAAAAAAGAATGCGCTAACTTCACTCAGAGATGGAAAAAGATAAGATAAGATAAGATAAGAAAGAGGACAGGAGAGAAAGAAGAGAGGTTAGATTTAAAGGTAAAGACTGTACATTTAAATGTCTGATGTAATAATTTGTAATCACATATTGGATTTGGTGTGTTTTAATAAATTATGTTTTTTTTTTTATTGTGAAACATCCTGAAAACCAAACTAAATAGACTAACTTTGTGTTATTCAAATGTTGCACAAAAATACTGGGCAGTTTAGTGCAGTATAAACGATTGAGCATGCATCAAGACACTAAGGAGCACTGTTTGGTAGTTAGAACAAATAATATTTGGCTTTTCTGTACTGTTAAAGTGGAACATGTAGTAAGAAACTTTTCTCAAGGTGTCCCTCAGAGAACATAACTGGATCCTCTTTTGTTTGAATTTATCTTTTGTGACCAGGATGATTTTAACTATTAGAAATTACATTGTGAAGGTGGAGATGGAGTTATCTTTCTTTGAAAAACAACAAAAAAAAGATGCTTGTCAACCAATCAGTTAATCTGTTAATCTGGGCTGGAAGCAGGTGTAGTTAACAACTTTGTTAATCCTGAGATCAGGGACACTGAGGTTTTCTGTTCCAGAATGAGAATTTACTTAACTCTGAGTCAGTTACCATGGCAACAGACTCTGTGAACCTCACCTGCTCACTGCCAGGTCTTCTGCAACAAACTCTGAGTTTTTCTCTGATTCCTCGCCTCCTGCTGGACCTGAAGCAGCTGACTGATGCTCTGATACACTTCCTCTTACACTCGTCTCTCCTTAACAATGTGATGCGGATGTCTTCCATGTTGACGCTACAATATGCAGAAGTCGGACTGCAAAAGTTATGTCTGCACAATGCATTCCAGCCCTGCTGTTTTATAGTGTTGTGGAAGTTTTCATTTAATAAAGTTTGCAGACAAACGGTGAGTAGTAGCTATTATCCTTTAATAAAAAATAAAAAAAAACATAACCAAGCTTGGCGAGAGCAGCCATCGCAGAACAAACGACCAGCAGTCTCTCCTGAACCGGAAAAGCCCTGGGTTTAAATACTTTCTACAGATATAAAAGACAATACACAGCTGTTATTACACCTTTGGTCTCTTGGTTTTTTTATAATTAGGTAAACATTTGTTATCACAAGCTTGATGCTGCTTCTTAAGTCTGGCTTCTGGCATTTGCTATAAATGCACTAATAATGAAAAAGACTAAAACCAAACATCAAAAGATTCGATTTGACTGAAATCACAGCAGCAGCTCTGAAATAGTTGAAGCCCGCTTGCGTTAATGTTTACACATTTTAAGTGGAACACAACAACAAGGAGATTGTACAGAGGGGAGGGACTGAGGTCACTGTGTCTATGACTGTAGACAGTCAGCCAGCAGCAAATGATGCTTTTGTCACTGTGAAGAGACTGGATGCACACAGCGTACACTTGGCGTGCTAAAAGGCTTTATTTTGATCACAAGCACTCTTTTAGTTTCAGCACAGTCTTCCAGCCTGGAGCCAGCTCTCTGCGTGGTTTCCTCCACCACATTCGAAGCTCAGGGCTGTCTGGGACTGATGTGCTGGAGACTATAGTGCAAGTAGCAGAGCACAGGGCAGAAGCAGAGCTTGTTCAAGACTGATGGACACTCTTTGGATAAGTTAGTGGTGCAGCAGTGACATATTGTTGGGGATACGTGTTCCTTAAACTTGGAGTTCAACAGCAGCTTGATGGCTTTGGGTGTAACTTGTGATGCCCAAATGAAGAAATGCACCAGTATTGAACCACTTCATTCATTCAAAGCTCAGTTTCAGCGACATCTAGTGGTGAAATAGGAGACAGCAGAAGAATGTGTCTGTAACAAAGTGCTGGCTGTAACTTGGGCTTATGCAAATGATATAAATACAGTTTTGCAAAGATGGATCTATAAACTTGTGTAAAGCAGTGGTTGGAAGAAGGCGTGCCTGTGGAAACAGTTTTTAGTTTCTTTTCTCCTGCTTTCCTGATCCCATCTGCCGGTGGATCACTGACTTCCTGACGGACAGGAAGCAGCATGTGAGGCTGGGAAAGAATG